CACCTGTCCTTCAATGCACGATTATAAAATTATTGTTGACAAAAGGTTTTGATAATGGTTGAGGGAACGGGTAAATAAAAATATTAATTTTGTATTTTTTTATTTAATAATATTAATTTTATTAGTTTTTAAATAAAAATATTAATTTTTAATTTTTTTATTAGAAGATATTAATTTTTAATTTTTTTCTTTAAAAATATTGATTTTTAACATTTTGATTAAATGGTAAATTTATCATGTTAATATCATTATTTAATTAATTTTTAAATAAAAAAATTAAAAATTATTATTCTTAAATAAGAAAAAATTTAAAAGTTGATATTTAAAAAAATTTAATATTAATATTTTTATTTAAAATATTAACTTTTAGTATTTTGATTAAAAAATATATATTATTTACGTTAATATCATTATTTAATTAATTTTTAAATAAAAATATTAAAAATTAATATTTTAAATAAAAATATTAAAAATTAACATTTTTATTTACAGAGAATATCTGAAAAACTCGCTAGTTATTAGACAATAATTCAGGACGTCAGACTCCGTATGATGAAAAGATGGATTGAAGATTGCGATAATTCAAAACATGGTTTGATTTGATTTCAAGGATGAAACATAAAACATTCACCAATGATGAAAAAACGGAAACAAAAAAACATGGTTAAATCTTTAATTTGCTCTTTAAATTAAAAAAATTTTTGATTTGATCCTTAAATTATCATACAGATCCCCGATTTGACCTCTACTATTTACTAATTTATCTCAAATTGATCTTTCCGTACAAAAATCAACTAACGTGTTTTGTTATAAACGTGACACGTGATTGTTAAGTTATTGTTTTTCGTCATTAAATTGCTATTTTCACTGCTAAATAACAAACTTATCAGTTATTTTTTGTACGGAATGATCAACTTAAAACAAATTTGTAAACAGTAAGGACTAAATTGAGGGTTTGTACAATAGTTTAGAGATTAAATAAAAATTTTTGTTGATTTAAGGATCAAATTGAGAGTCTATATAATAGTTAAGGGACCAAATTAAAAGTTTAACAAAAAAAAATAGGTTAAATACCTTTTTTGGTCCCTCTACTATAGGAAAAAGCCCCCTTTTGGTCCCTGTACCGAGAAAATTCCCTTTTTGGTCCTTACTGTTCAT